TGATAACGTCAAAGTGCTTTAATTACAGCAAATTAATCAGGTACTAAAAATACTGAAAAGACTTGTGCAAACTTAATATGCTTCATTGCTGTGAACATGACAAAAGCAGCCAGCTCCTCTAGCTCCCCTAAATTCAGACGAATATTAATCAGAGCTTAAATTAGACTGACTATCTTTATCCCTTCCCTTCGGCGTCAACTCTCTAAAGTAAAAATAGCTATGAGCAGTGAATGAATAGACGTACAGAGCAATCCATATTGATCCCTCCAGTGGGTGAGACCGCATTTGCAGCTTACTGACACGGCCCTGAGTCTTAGGATGAAAAAGTTTCAGTCTCTATACGCAAGGTCTCTTTAAAGATCTAACAGATTGATGCTCCCTACTTGTTCACATAGTATTCATAGTGTTCACATCCTAAGAAGAAATGTACATAATGTATCAAGACAAGCAAGTGATTTTTACCCCATCTTAGCACTAAGGAATGGTATGAGAAACAAATATTTTACATTGCTCAGGCGTCAACAGATGCACAGATAATTTACTGAGGAATGGCAGAGATGGGTTATATTTTACTTTGTAATGTTCTTAATCAAAACTGAAAATTCTGTGCAAATCAAATCATCAATGGCCGACCGATGAATATGCACATATTCAAATTTGGTGTGATCGTTTCAGCCTGTTAACATCAAACTTGCCTGATTCCACTATATGCAGATATCTGAGAGCTGCAGCTGAGGAGACTATCTCTGGTGTATTTCCAATATCTGCAAGTCAGTCAGTTTCGATATGAGTTGAGTGAACAGCTTTCAAGGCATCATTCTGTAAATCCTATTTCTCATTCACCAAGCATGTTGAATTTTTATGACACCATTAAATAAATATCAAACTTGTATACTTTTCATACCTTGAGATAAGTTTCTCTCACTTGCAAACATTCTGTAACTTTATCAAATGCATGAAAGCATCCTTTGGGTTTTCAGTGCGTGTATCTTTTCCTAGCCTCCAGCAAAGATACATGACTGCAATCTTTTCTACATTCTGTAAACATAGTTTCTTCTGACATTCTAAAGAAGTGAACTTAACTTCTACAGTGTCAGTGGCATGGCATTTGAGATGCTTGGGAAAATCAGTACCTTCTTGCCTTTCTCCCTTGCGACCTGCAGCATAATGATTCAGTCATGATTCCCTGATCTCCAAATTTCACTATTCGGTATGTATTATTTTGACTGGGTCATTCTAATATTCTGATTTGGTGCTCAAAAGACATTTATGTTGTCTAATATTTTTGTGGAAATCATTATACAAAGGCTACGTTCACACTGTCAATTTTTGGGATTGACAACCGCATTTTCTTTACAGGTGTAAGTCTCGAAATGTCCCGTTTACACAGCAACTTACAGTTGTGTTTAGAATACTGTCTGTATGAACGTGCAATGGGAGTCAAGCCCATAGGCCCTATTCCTTACCAGTAACCATAGCGACAGTGACCAAAGTAAAATCAAATATGGCAACGTCCATAAAACGTCCGACACGACAAGAGTCCAATCGAGCCGCGAGTTCTTTCGTCAAATCTTCATTAACCAACAGCAGCTTTTAAATTTGGGTGGAGAGCATTTGAATCGCGCGCAGAACACAAAACTGACGGGATCTAAAGCTTTCAGCTCATTTCTCCGTCACTGTAATGCCGAGTTCACACTGTACGATTTTAGCCTGATTTTTCACTTGCCGACAGGTTTTGCGAAATCGCCAACAAATGCCCAAAATCGGTGCTCGTTCACACGAGTGACAATCACGCAGTGTGAATTATCAAAGACGCGATCTGAGGGAATCGCCGACACCCATGAAATATTTTACATGCTAAATATCTGGAGCTGTTGGCGATTCACAATCACGCTGTGTGAAATGAGTTCTGACTGAAAAACACATCGGCGATGACCTACAGCCAATGAGAGACCAAGATACAGGGCAGCGGGAAGTTCGGGGAGGAGTTATATGAAACGTAGTTTGCGGACCAGTGTTGCCAAATCTGCGATTGCCGCCGGTTGTTTTTTTATGTCAGCAGTTTGAAGCGACCCCAAAAACATGATATTTAGGCCCTGGAATGTGAAATGTACCAGGAGAACCCCGCCAAAAAAAATATATATATATTTTACCCCCGAACGTGAATTTTACTGGGGGACCCCCTCGAAAGCAACTGGGCTATTTTCAGGCTAGTTTTGAGTAGTAATTGGGCAGGTTTTGTAGCGAAAACCTGGCAACCCTGCACCAGACAGAGCTGTCGGCGATTCTTCCTATTGTGAAGTCATGCAGTGTGTAACCTCCTGTCGTCGTTCCATCGTGCAGTGTGAACACAGCAACAACTGAATACTACCCCAGATAGTCGTTCAGTGTGAAACCAACCGTGATGCGACGTCTTTGAAAATCGTGCAGTGTGAACTCTGCATAAGTTACCGAAAACACACATGAAAACACGTAGCACACGGTAGACACGCGTTTGTGCGGCAGAGCGGCTCTCTCTCGTGCTGTATGACGTGACAGACAACTAGTTGTCCAGTCCGGTTCCATTCACACAGCACGTGTGTTCCGAGAATGCGGTTGTGAGTCCTGAAAATTTACGGGTGTGAGTTCGGTTACAGAATGCGGTTGTCACGCCCATAAATATCCGAACTGTGTGTGAATATAACCGTATTAAGGACTCAAATACAGGACTGACAACCGTATTCTGTTGCTGTGTGAACGTGGCAAATATTTTCCAGGTCTGATGAGTAGAAAGTTCCAAAGAACAGCATTTATTTGAAGTACAATTTGTTGCAAAAGCGTTTACTGTCTCTTTTGATTAATTTAATGCATCCTTGCTGAATAAATGTATTAATTTCTTCCAAAGAAAACAAATCTTATTGACCCCAAACTTGAAGAGGCATTATGTCTATAGGTCAAAAATGTCGAAACCGGTCCCCTTGCATGCTAAACGAAAACTCAGTGCACCATTAGACTAACTTGTCTTAGATAAGGAATAACCCTGCTTAAGGACTGCCACAAGTACCCAAAAACCAAAACTGTGATCTGAAGAACTTTAAACATAAAAAAGAACATTTTTTAATCTCTAAAAAAATAAATCATTGCCAACTCGACTGCCCTATATAGCAGAAACTGGTTCTTGTAACACCTTGTCAATTCTTTTGATCAAAGATAAGAGCTTGCTCTCTTCAGAAGCTGTATTCTGGAACGTACTCTCTTTCGAGTTTCTTTAGCGTTGCATACATATTAGCAATGTGTTGCACCACATCAGTCTCTGAGTCTGCCTGGAGTGGGTGGGAGTCTCTCACCATTTTGATCTTGAATCTGTTCAGGAGCCTGAGAACGCAAATGTCTTTGAATGTCTCCTGTGACTATGTAAGCGCTCCGTCACCAAATTTCTCTACTCAATTTTACACACAGGAAGCATACCTGCATTCCTCTTTTTATATATGTCAAACTTTTCAACATAACGTACATATTTCTGCCACTTAATGTCAGTGTCATGCATATCTAACATGCATAAATCTAGTGTTCTGCTGTTTTATAATGTGCAAACATCACTCTAAAAGCAGAAAAGGATGAAACATTCAGCAGAGCATGAACTAAGCAGCCCTCCAGCTGAGTAATACTGCCGTGTCTTGTTCATTCAGGCTTGGTTTCAGCTTATATGTCTCATCCCTGATGACCAATCATGAAGCAGAATAAAAAGTTTTTAAGAGCCAAAGCATTTATACAAAAACACCCAGAGCCAGATAATGTATGAGATCCCTTGAGATGATACAGCAAGACTCTTTAAACAACCATACTACAGCACAAAGTGTTTAAAATATATAATCACTCAAGAGTTTTGCAACAGAGCTGTAGGGAGTGCCCATTTTTCAGTGGAATAAAACAGCAGGCCAGCAGTACAAGTAAGGAGTTACACTCCCTAAAGATCCATTATCTGTAAAGATGTGTACATTTTTGTGCACACACCTTTAATGTAAAACCTATATTATCAGTTACTTTATTCTCTTGACTGTAAATACTGAAACAAGACATCTTCAAAATGCTGACTACAAAAGGTTAGGATATAATTCTAGCATTTGGCCCTATCCAGGATGTAAATTACAGTATTGGGTACAGTATGAGGTAAACAATTAAACATTTTTTTAATTGCATGTCATTATTTAAAATTAACTGGAGGCCATCCATCACCTGCACAGATAAAGTTACTTATTAGAGGTAAAATGGTTTTTTATAAAAGCAGGCATTTAAAGAATCTAAGGAATGTCCATGGAATTTATATCATATTTGGAGCCAGACCACGTTGGGTCAAACAAGAATCTAAGAATCAAACAAGATACTGAATAAACTGTAATTCCTAGTTTCAGTTAATTTTTTCAAAGATTCAGTATTATTAGGCTATATGATTATAGGAGGGTTCTTGTTTGATCTTATTAAGACTCCCAAAACACCCTTTGCTTTCCAAACTAAAATTCTAATATTATCATATTTCTATAAATGTAAACTTTTTGTTTCACAATTGTTTTGCTGTTTACATGTTGCTATATTTGCCATAATACGCTATGTAGTGACAGGTTCCATTGTTAGTTTACAAAGTAGTACTGCATCATAGCACTGTACAAGGAACAGTATATTTTTTCCTATGCAAGAACGGTGGAAATGTCGAATACTTTCAAAAATAATTCGACCCTTAGAAATATTTACCGACGTTAATGAGTGACAACTTGTCCCGGTTTCCTTTACAAACCCCATCATTCCACAAATCAACTTTAATAAGCATTCAATAACAGTAAAATAACTAGATCATGTGACATCAGTTAAGTGATGTTGATTCTTCACAATATTCATGGCCTCACAAAACTGGTTTACTTGAACTTACCAATACGACAGAGTAACAATCGATAAGTCGTCATTCAATGGAAGTTTCGAGAAATGACAGATAATTACAGCGACGTTGTCTTCAGAGATAAACCTACCTCGCATTGGGTTTTGAATCCAGAGGATTCCCCCGATAAGGTGTGGAGACTGCCCTAACATCATGGAACCAGAGCAGGTGGTCGAAACACCAACGAAACACCTGTCTAACACAAGCGCCCAGCTCGCGCGCCTTATGAAAGCTGATTAATAATAACGCGCTCGAGCCAGTCCGCAGCTCCTCAATGAAGAGCGCATCGCATCTCAATGACCAACGTGAAAGAGTCGCACAAAATACGGGTTCTAAACATTCAAATGATTAACTCGGAGAAGGAACATGCTGTATGGTGGTGTTCTGTTCCTCTTAATGGTGTTCCGCGGTGAGATGTGAATCAGTGGGTGGACGTGCAGATGCTGAATGATGCCGATCGTGAATCTTTACTGTACATGCATAGACTGATCTCAAGCCCACGGGCCCCGTGAGCCCATCTCTATGCCATAGGTTTCCAGCGCAAGAGCAGGGCAAAGATCTGCGGCTGATCGGCAGCCAATCATAATCCCAACCCGGCTGTGGGGAAGCGTTGTTTGTTTGTTTGTTTGTTTGTTTGATTGTTTGCTGCTGAAGCGTTCTTTTCAATAAACAAACATTTCCGCAGAAATTCATCTGGAGACGTTTGTTGAAGTCTTACCTTGAACAGCCATGCTGCTACTCCATGGGTTCGCGCATTATGGGAAGGTAAAGAAAGCTGTTGGTTGTCTGAGTACCCCACTCTGCCAAAGCGTCTTGCTTATTAACACTTGCAAGCAACCTCTGTCAAAGCCGAGTGTGCTGGAAAAGCGTGAAATGTGTTCCCAAAGAACCATGGGTATTGTAGTTCCACCTTAAAGTTACTGGATATGTAACCACGTTGTTAGACCGGTTTCAACTCATTATATTTATCTATCTATCTATCTATCTATCTATCTATCTATCTATCTATCTATCTATCTATCTATCTATCTATCTATCTATCTACGTGTGAATTTATTTATTTATTTATTTGACTATGACAATTACATTTATCCAAAGCAATTTACATGGAAGAAATGTGGGTTAAACATTTGAAAGTAAACTGGTTGTCAACTCTGATTAAAAACTCTGATGTTTATTCACATGTTTGAGAATTATGTTTGAAGAAATTTATTATTATTATTATTATTATTTAGGTTACAAACACATTCTATGCTGCAAGAAATTTGAAAAAAAAAATAATAATTAAAAAAAAATAGCAGACACAAATTTCAGACACATTTATGAACAACAATATATATATATATATATATATATATTGTTGTTCATAAATGTGTCTGCTATTTGTTTTCATAGAAATTGTACTTGTGTAACTGTGAACCTTTTGCATCCCTCTAACTCATTGAATATTATTTTTGAAAAGTTCTATTGTGACATAGAGATTTCTTCATTGTTATAATTTCTAACATGTTTGAAAGACATGCGTATAAATCTTAACCTATGAACTCCCAAACTGTAAGTCAAAGGTCCCTTTAAAACACGTTTTAGGTCAAAGTTGGTATGCTTTTTTCTAATATGGTAGTTAGAGCAAATGTTTCTCTCTACTCTTTCAGATCTAGCTGTCCAAAAAGGACAACACTGAATCAGAACAACCGGAGAGCAACATAAGCAACTTTACTGAGCTCTTAATCTGGACCTGTGAAAGAGTTTGACATCCCAGGATGACACAGAAGCTATAAAGTGGAGAATGCAGAGACTGAAGAGGCATCATTATAGATACAGATCACTGTCTGGGGAACTCAGGCTTTCTCAGTTCCTTTTGCATGAGTGAATACAATAATGATGAGCACGAATCCTTTAGAAATTATTATCATGTAAACCTACATCCCTATCACTGTATGAACTGATCACATCACAACCTAATTTAGGTTATGGGAAATGTTTAAGAATATATGTCACCTATAATTATATATGGTTCATTTTGGTTCTTCTGTGTGGCAATATAAAAGTATTTTGAACAGGTTTAGTTGAACAAAAGAAAAACTGCACAGTATTGTTTCAAACCCACACTAACGCAAGTATACATTACGCTTCTAGATCAATTTGATTCCAGTTGGAGCCCCTTGGTGGACATCATGGATCCTGGAACAAATGATGTGGGAAACCACGATTTTGGGTCTGACCAAGTAGCTTTTCCTGAAATGATACTTTTTATATTAATTTTATTTTGTTTTCATTATGGACACTCAACATTGCAAATAAATAGCAAATGTGGAACATATGAAGTGTAGACTACTATTACTCCATTCTTCTAAATTGAAACCTTCAGGTGGAGCTACAAAGCTTGCCTGTCCATCAGGTCCAGGTATAAGATTTTGTTCCACATTTTTATGTTATGATACAGCACTTCCTCTAAATGTTTTTTTTTATCCGCATTCCTGAAGATTACAGTCAGCTCTTGTTTTTCTGGTTTCCAGACAAATGACAATCAAAGAACAAATGTTTGGCATTACTGATAAGGTTTGATCTGTGACTGAACACGATGTTCTGCTGCTACATGCCTGTCTTCATGCACTTACAGTAGGTTGATGCAATTCCCATAAGCTTCCCATAAACATGCTACCATTTGTTACTGTATAATGTAATGTATTTTGAAAGATTGCAGGCATTTTTTCTTTATTTGCATTTTAAATCACCCTGAAAGAAAAAAGGTTGTTCTTGTATTTCTTGTAATGTAGGCAACTTCCAAATTTCCAAATTGTAAAAAAACAGCATCTGTGGATGAATTTGTTAAGGACAGGTTTTTTCATACACTATTTATACTAATTAAAACAATGACCTCTCTTGCTTTGCTCAAATACTTGCATTTTGTTGGTTCTTCAGCGGTTCTTTGGGGTGGTTAAGGTGCTATATAGCACCACTCCCATACAAAGAAGCCGTTAAGCCCCTGTATAGCCTAGTTCTTTAAAGGTTCTCTAACTCTTCCTTAGTCTAGTTGTGGAAAGGATTAACAACGACATTAAAATACAGTGCATTTCCTGAAGATAATGTGATTCTCAACCTTTTTGCCCTAAAGGCCCCCCTAAAAGGAAATATTCCAGGACCCCCACATGAGACTTTTTGACCTCAGAAAAGCATAAAAGTGATTCAAAACAACTTTTGCCATTGTAGTAAATTCCCATTCATAGCAAACATATGAAAGTGGAGTTACATATCTAAAATATAAGGAGAAGAATGGGGTTCATCTTATGGTTCTACATAGCACCATTTGACAAAGGTGCTGTATGATTACAAGCAAAATGAACCACTTTTAGTGCTATTTAGCGCCATTTTTGTTTAGAGTGTATACAACATGTACTAAATGCAGAGGTAATATCCAGATTATAACGACTGCAAATTCATGGCAAGGAGCAAATTGTAGCGTTAGCGCACTGCTCCCTCTTCTGGACGATTTCCAGTATGACAAATAATACAGGTGCATCTCAATAAATTAGAATGTCGTGGAAAAGTTAATTTATTTCAGTAATTCAACTCAAATTGTGAAACTCGTGTATTAAATAAATTCAATGCACACAGACTGAAGGAGTTTAAGTCTTTGTTTCTTTTAATTGGGATGATTTTGGCTCACATTTAACAAAAACCCACCAATTCACTATCTCAGCAAATTAGAATACTTCATAAGACCAATAAAAAACACATTTTTAGTGAATTGTTGGCCTTCTGGAAAGTATGTTCATTTACTGTACATGTACTCAATACTTGGTTGGGCCTCCTTTTGCATGAATTACTGCGTCAGTGCAGCGTGGCATGGAGACAATCAGCCTGTGGCACTGCTCAGGTGTAATGGAAGCCCAGGTTGCTTTGATAGCGGCCTTCAGGCCATCTGCATTGTTGGGTCTGGTGTCTCTCATCTTCCTCTTGACAAAAGGTTTCCATCCTCATTATCCCCACTGCCCTCCTGAGCCTGCTTTTTCTCCTTTTCCATTTCCTTCCAGCCCCGGGTCAGCTCCGAAACCATGTTGGAGCACTTCATGCGGCGCGTGGGCGACCCTTTCTTGCTTAGCATCTTGTCCAATTCATCCGTGGCCACGTCCTTACAGATGCGTTTAGTCAAAAAGTCAATGCCCGCACTTTTCTCCTGTACTTCCCTTGTCACAGTTTTCACCACTTGTGTGGTTTTGATGCATGACTTCCCGGCGGCCTCCACATCATCCTGGTTTTTATTTCTAGGGTCCTGAAAGAGACTTCTGAGAAGGTTTGATCCTTGGAGCTATTTTTTTTTTGCATCTTTTTTGGGGTCCTCTGTGTAACTCGGGGCCCATCCGCTGGGTTCACTGGACTGCTTCTCCACATTTTCTCTCACCCACTGCTGCCAGCTCTGTGTTAAGCTGCACACCACACTTATGGAATGCAGCTATTTAGCTTTTTAATGTTCTTGTTTGCTGAGGGCTTCTTTTCTGACATTGTTTACCTCCAAGGGTTTCCTTCCCTCATTCAAGTTCTTTGTCCCTGATGGCTTTTATATAACACCTCGTTGTGATTCCCAACCTGTAGTAAATTCTAGACTCTAGAATTCTAGCTCTCCCTTAGGCACTAGTGCGGTTTTGAAATGGGTGAACCAACCTTACATGGCGGTGGAAAGTATGCCAGGCATCTCTGCTGATCATCTTTCCTTGACACTTACCTACCTCTGGGATTGGTGGGGAATCACGTTTCATCATAGACTTTGCCCATCGCTGGGGGTAAACAGGGCAGAAATCAGTGAGTGTTAAGCTTTTCCCTAGGCTTCACAAATGTGCAGACAGCTGCAGATCCCCTAAATACAGAAAATAAAAACAAAATAATGTTGGTGTTTGTAAAGTGTGTGTGGACTCGTCAGCCAGCAGAGGTCCTCGTAACTAGCATCTTGTCCAATTCATCCGTGGCCACGTCCTTACAGATGCGTTTAGTCAAAAAGTCAATGCCCGCACTTTTCTCCTGTACTTCCCTTGTCACAGTTTTCACCACTTGTGTGGTTTTGATGCATGACTTCCCGGCGGCCTCCACATCATCCTGGTTTTTATCTCTAGGGTCCTGAAAGAGACTTCTGAGAAGGTTTGATCCTTGGAGCTATTTTTTTTGCATCTTTTTTGGGGTCCTCTGTGTAACTCGGGGCCCATCCGCTGGGTTCACTGGACTGCTTCTCCACATTTTCTCTCACCCACTGCTGCCAGCTCTGTGTTAAGCTGCACACCACACTTATGGAATGCAGCTATTTAGCTTTTTAATGTTCTTGTTTGCTGAGGGCTTCTTTTCTGACATTGTTTACCTCCAAGGGTTTCCTTCCCTCATTCAAGTTCTTTGTCCCTGATGGCTTTTATATAA